TTCTAAACCTTTTGGCTAAGCATTTTTTTAGTTCTTATGTTATGAGACAGAGTGAACAACAGTTCCCTGATGCCTTTTTTTCCATACCACTCCTAATTTATTAGACCTCTATTATATCCCTCCACCACTCATCTCTTTTCCAAGCTGAAGAGTTCCAGCCCTTTCAGTCTCTCCTCAGAGGGAAGCAGTTCCATACCCCCTGATCATCATTGTTTCTCTTCCCTGTATACTTTCTAGTATATGTTACACTGAGGGAAGGACACTGGCTAGGGGGTGAATGTCCGCATATGAAGTTATAGCAGTACAAGCCCTAGGGCAGATGCCTCTCCTGTTTCCGAAGAACTGCAATCTCAGTGCTTTCTGCTAGATGGTGCTCATCCCTCACTCTGGAAAACACACATGGGATAACACTTGCAATCCATAGTTTTTTCAGTGCCCTGGTTGCACTGCAGACTGCAGGGCTAACAACTGGACAGACCTGTTGGATGCAGCTGTGACTGCTCCACCCCATGGAAATCCTTCCCTTGTCTTACTGTGTTTAAATTTTACCATAGGCCAAGATGTGCCAGTGTGATGCAACCTACCTTTGGCATTATATTCCCACAACTATTTCAAATGCAGTTACTCACTGAGAATGGCCAACCTGAGGGCTGGACTCCCCCCACTAGCTGGACCAGGGGACCCCCTGACCCTATTCCACAGGCTGCATACAGCCTTCCCTCCTGTCTGAATATATCTCCCCTTTGTCTGTGCTTGGACCTCCCACTCCTGCACAAAGGCAGCTACATACCAACAGCACTGATTGGAAACTACTCTGACAGCAGGTCATGAGAGTCCCTGCTGCCCCCCTGCCTGCTCCCAAAACCCATCAGAGATGCTCCAGACTCCCAGACCAGTCCCCAGATCTTCAACAGTTCCCTTACCCCAGAGACCCATCAGAGATGCTCTGCAACCCACTGCCCATTCTCTGGGCCCATCAGAGACATTCTGTACACCCCCCTCCTTCCCACTCACCCACCCACACCAGGAACCCCTCAGAAGCACTGCAAGGCTCCTTGCCTACTACTCAGAACCACTGGAAATGCTTGCCACTCTTGGACCAGCTCCCCATACCCATCAGAGACTTTACACAGCCATCTGCCTGCTTCCTGTATCAATTCATAATGCCCTGCAGCCCTTTACCTACTCACCAGAGGGATCAGAGTCCAGCTGTGGCTCCTGCTTGCTCCCCAGACCCATTAGTCATTTGGCAGCTCCCCAAAACCATGAAGCCCTTTCCCACCACCCAGACTCCTTAAAGATAATCGGCCCCCTGCCCACACCCCAGACCCATTCCTAAGGGTCTACTGAACTCAAGGAGGCAACCAGCCAATTTCGTGAGCAGATCCTGGGGCCGGCCATCATTTTCACAGGCTGAGCACAGCAGGTCCTCCATACATCTCTGACTGGCCGAGGGGTCCCGGAAATCAGACCCCTCCCTGCAGATTGTTACATGGCCTGAAACTGTGGCTTAATTATCCTGATTAAGCTTGTGGAAGCCAGTAATCTGTGTGTTTTTAAATGTGGAGTACTAGCTCCCTCGGGTTTAAGCCATAGTTTTGGGCTATCCCCAGGTGGTGGGCTCCCTGCAAAAATAACCAAAACAAAGAAAAAAAATGGCAAGTAGAGAAAAGGCCAGGAAGCCCTGCAGTCTTGGAGCATGGGGGAGGGGGTGGGGGGGTGGGGGGGGGGGGGTGAGAGTAGGGATAGGAAGGAGCTGCTTGCAGTAGGAGGCTTACTCCCCAGGTGTTTCAGAAACTCTCAGCAGCGCTCTGCTCACTTCCCATAACCACTGTAGGTCTACTGTGACCCCCTGCATACTCTGCTAACCTACTGGGAACATTCTGTGGCCTCCTGACCAACCTCAACAGTCTTCATAAGGTGCTAAATGCCATGTGTACTGTGGGGTGTAAAAAGATGAAGACATAGCAGGCGAGTGACAACTTTGATAAAACACATTTTACAATAGCTTCAATAGCTTGTTGTTCCTGCATCTGTATCCATGTTTATAGTACACTTGGGTCCAGGCAGGTTGTGCTCCATCTGCATAGCCCTTTCTCAGGAACTCCCAGCTCAACATAAGCCCCTTCTTCATGAGCTTGTTGGCTATTGCAGTGCCCTCTTTTTTGTACTCTCCAAATTTCCCTGTCTTTGAGAGGCCCTTCATGCTTGAGCTGCCCTCCTATGTTTGGCTGAGGACTTGAACCAGTTCTCCAAACTTTACCTCCTTTGTTTTTTCTCTTTCTCATTTTCTAAACCTGACATTAACTAGGTGCTGGGTAGTGGCTAACAAACATCCTTGAGACTGGATTGGCTTTAATTTTGCAAGGCAGGAAAAAACCCAAGCAATTAATGTTCATTGCTCAATGTCTAGAGTAGCACATTACATGTTTTTCATCCCCAAAGGTGGAATGCCATCCACAGAGCTGTGGGAGACTGAAGATAGCAAATCCTTTTCCATCTTTCCAGCTGCATTTTGGAAGCATGATGCAGCGACCCACCACAGCTCACCAGAAATTGTTACTTGTGTGGACCGGGCCAAATGTTTGCAGCAAAGGGTATGATGGATCATGCCTGTGCTGCATCTCATTCCACTTTAGGGAGGCTGCATAGGGTCACAATTCATGTTAAAAAGATAATTAGAGCTTTGTATAAGGTGGCACAAAGCATACAATGGATTTAAGTGCATCACCAGTTTGGCATTCAGTGTACCACTAGAAAAAGTGTATCTATCGTCCCTGCACATACATTTGCACTTCTACAAGTAATTTATATATTGGAGGATATAACCCTAATGAAATATCATAGAAACTACCCTTTTATTCAACCTAAAGACAACCCAACAAGCTATGCATGGCGGTTACTTGCTAGATTGATTCCTCCTAGCTTTCCATGTGGCCAAAAGAGCAATGCCTTCTGAGGAATGAGGGAGAAGGCAATCTCCCAAGCACTTTTGAATGCTACTAGAGAACTTTCTGTATCTACAGTTACATTTTATATCAGTTGTACTCAAAGCTCATTGTACCATTAATGCTCTTTTGTAATGTGTTAAGCATTTCAGGATAAACACTATTGGTATCTGGTCAATTTGTTGTGCAGTTAGCCAGATGGTGCCTGCTTATTGTTTGCTAGTAGATTTTTAGTAGACTGAAAAATGTATTTAAAAGGCTTCTATTGCTAAAAAACACTAAGACTTATTTACAAATACCTTGCTTAAATTTCAAGGGGAAAAATGTCTTGATTAGGGATATTGTAGCAGGTTCAGGGTCAACTAGCTCACCAAACAGTCCTTTTACTGGTTCACAGCCTCTTTATCATCCATACTCCCTTGGGCAAGCTTCCTCCTGGCAGAAGTCAATCAACATAAGGCATATGCAGTGAGAAAACATTCTACTAAGATTTGTACTAACACATTTGAACTAATTTTCTCAATTAATTCCCTACATGATCAAAATACAGCATGTTCTGTGTAAGAGAACTTAAAAATGCTCAGCACACAACAAGTGCATTTGTGCAGTAAAGTACATTAGAATGGAGTTACTTAACAGAATTAGCTTTCTTACTTTCCTGCAAAGGTGAAGGTGTGCAAAATAGCCAAGGGTGTAAAGTGCTACAGCAAATAGCTGTGGACAACTGCTGACAAGTGGGCAACTGCTGATGAGGTACAGCTCAGTGAAGCAGTGTTTTGAAATAAAAGCCACTGCAGACAATTGAATGGCTTATCTTTAATTTTGCAATGGACTGTAAATCAGGGTGCCGACCACTCTGATAGGGATCATCTGGATTCTTCTGTGCTCTTTTTATAAACACAGAGCAGTTAAGAGCTGAGCAGGAGGCATAGTAGAGGGGTGGGGAAGAGCACTCACTGTTGGAATAGGAAGGACAAATAGCCAAAAAAATTGACCCCTGGGGTAAGCACATATAGCATTGCCTTTTATGATCAATTTTATGGTGATAGAGGCAGACACTGTGATGCTTACTGGTTTCCTTTGGTGACAGCTCAAGTGCTCATAGGACAGGGTGGCTGGGAACCAAAGTTTTAGAAGAGCAGATTTGTCCGTGCAAGGCCTTATGTTTGGGAGTGCCTGGCTCTCAGGCTCATTTTAGGAGTCATCAGCTGTAGTGTTATGCCCTCTTCTCCTTTGGCTGTTCCTGAGAAGCAATGCAACTTTATGCTGTTGTCTCCTGCCAAAATTCTGTCAAGCTTTCCACAGTATGGACAAATAGGTGAATTACCTATTTTTGTCCATAACCTCCTGCAGTGCTCCTTCCAAGATCTGATTCAGATATGGCACTGGATGGCACCTGTCAGGGCCGAGGGGCTCTGGCCAGCAGCCCGGGCACGTGGGCCGGGGAAAGGGTCGGCACGGCGAACTAGAATTAGGCATGGACGCATAGAGGTTGATTAAAGATTGTTTTACTTACACCATAGGTGGTCACGGTGCGGGCAGGAAAAACTTTTTTGAGTTGCAGTTACAAAAAAAACCCACACACGTGGAGTTTGCTAGGCTCCACTGAAGACACACGAGTGGAGATTGCTAGGCTCCGCTAAACGAACACGAACAGAGCTCTAGATACCACTCACGGAGTTTGCTAGGCTCCGTGGACCGTCCGAAATGAGAGTCCGAAAGGTGACTTTCCACGAGTACGCAGGGTGGGGTACGTCGAGGGATCGTGCAGCAACGGGGAGAGGCTAGAGGTTGATCAGGCCCCTGTATCCTCCTCTAAGGCACACGTGGAGTTTGTTAGGCTCCACAGCGTGCTTAGAGTTCTTCACGAGATGGATGTGAAGTCCTCCTCCTCCAACTTGGGCGGAAACTGCTCAAGCCTCTTATACGGCTAGCAAGCCAATCGCTAGCCGCCACGTGGGAATAATTTAGAAACAGCCAATAGTGGGAAACAAATTTACATACGGGTGGCGGGAACTCCTTTGCACCGGGGTTTTCTCTATGCAACTGAGAATTGCACCGTGCAAAGAAAGCTCCACGTAGCGGGAAATAATTCTGCAGTGCCAAAGCACACACAAAATCATACCCTTTGGGTCATGACAGCACCCAGTTATGATCCCATGAGGCTATCACTGAGGAAATTTTGTGAAATAGGTCTACATAACCATGTCTAGACACCACAAATTTCTAGACCCTTGCTTCTTTCCACAGGTACGGGAGATTCGTGACCTCAACAAGACCAGCTGAAAACATGAAAAGCAGGGAGGGCACAGAAGCAGCTATAAAAATAAGCTCAGTATGTTCGGGTGTTAAGTTGACACTTGGGCTTCCTAACACAAAATCTGGCTGCATGTTAGCATTTGAACAGCAGGTGGCATCCACTCAACATGACCCTAGAGCAGCTGGGGACATGCAGGCAAACAGAATGACCAGTAACACAGTGCAAAGCAGCATGGAAGGACTGCTGAAGACCATCAAGATATAACTACAAACACTACTGCACCATAACTTACTCACTCCACTGGGAAATTATACTTATTTATTCATTATTTGCATCTGTCATGGAGACACAGGTCTTCTTATACTAATATAACCAGGTTTGCACTGACATAAATTGCCAGTGATGATAACCACATAAACACTGTGACAGGATGGTGTTACCATTAGCTGAACATCCTGGAGAAAATCTAATAATTGAAGATAACAAGACAAGGACGTTAATATCTTTATTAATAGCACAGAATATGCGATGAAATATTTTCTAGTCCTTCACCACTTTTTGTGCCATGTTGAAAGGTAATTTATGTCCTACCTTGCAAGACTTGATTACCTAGAAAGAATTATGCACGATATTATAGCCATAAGAATTGCTAGTCAGATTTGGGATCCAGGATTTATTTTTCAGCTGTTTACTGAATATAAATAGTTAAAAGGAAAAAAACCCTACAAACAAAAGAAATGCCACAAGCAGTTTGACCAGAATCAAATGAACGAGAAAAAAAAAAAATCAAAAAAAAATCAATGACTTCTTTGTGCACATAGAGTTGGAAATTGGAAGAAAAGTTCCTAAATCAGTAGGAGCAGAAGAGGGAAAGATATCTTGATGGGAGAACTCTTAGCTCTTAACAGGAGTAGATGCTGCTTTCATAGTCTTCTTTAGATGGTGATAATTTGGCAGGATTTTCATCAGGAAATCCAGCTGCAGCGTTTGTGGCTAGAAGGTACAGTGAAGAATTAGAAAAGGAAGGTGTAAGAAACCAAGGCACTTGAACAACATTAGGCTGGCCCTCCACATCGTTAGAGATGCACTCATGACATGGCACAGGTGACACTCCTGACATGAACTGGATAAGCACAGTCACACTGAATCTTTGCCCTGGTGCAGGAGTCAACATTCTTTTTGTCACTTTAAGAAATATCTCGGGCCCTGTCACCTTACTATAACAGCACGATGCGTTTTGGAGACAACTAGCTAGTCTGTCTAATGCATGCTTGTTCAGGGGCTTTCATACAATGGAGGGTGAAGCTATGTGCCCAAATGCCTTACATTACCGTTTTTCAACCGGTGTGCCGCCAGGCATGTCCAGGTGTGCCACGGCATTTTGGGCTGGAGCCACGCCCCCCACCTGCTGCTACAGTGGTGGGCAGCCAGATAGAGGGGCTGCTCTGAAGCATTCCGCTGCTCGCAACACCCCGCTCCCTTATCTGCAGCATTCAGCTGCTCACAATCCCCCATCCTTCCCCCCCACTTTGCAGTGTGCCATTGGGTGGGGGAGGCCATGTAAGTGTGCCGTGCGATGAAAAACTTTGGGAAACGCTGCCTTACACGAAGGCATTTTGCACCTACAGGCAGGCAATGGACAGGGAGGTGAGCACCCACTAGGTATTTCTTTCATGAGTGGGCTTCAAAATGAGTAATGATGCAATGAATTTTGAATTATATTTAGACAAGAGAACATAATGCCAATCGGCTTCACAAAAGCAGTGTTCCCAGGCAAGAAGCAAAGCATAGCTGGTTACAGAGCTGCTTCTGAAAACTTTCGGAAGAGACCAAAAGAGACAAAGAATGACAGACCTGGAAGGCTGCCCCTGCCTACAGCCTTGGAGGTGTTTTGTAAGGACATGAGGGACCACTCTATCAATATACAAACTATTCCTGATATAAGAAGATAGAAGGCAAACTGGGACCTAGGAATTCTCTTCCCTCCACTTGGACCACATGTACACAGTAGCTCTCCAGTCCCTTTTTGCTTTTAAAGTAAAGTAGTGGCCATTCTTTAGAGGAACAGGGTCAAAACCCCTATGGAGTCTGGCCACCTTGGCAGGGGACAAACTCTCCAGTGTGGTTTGTGGAACACTCACCTGGGGACGCTCCGTCTGGACTCGACGCAGGCAGTCAGCTCCATAGATCACAGTGTTCTCAGGGATAACTTCATATGTGTTGACATTGCAGCAGGCCCCAATGATGCAGCCACTGGTCAGAATCACATTCCTGCCCACAAACGCTACAAGAAAACAGAGAAATCATTATTGTGGCTGCAGTGTAGATATACTCTTACAGTAATCTTACAATTTCATTCCCACTTCTCTATGGGTTGGACACTTGCTTGAACCCACCTGCATGCAAACAAAGAGAGTCTAACTTTTATGGACTAGTACAGAATTAAAAAATAATAGTCACTAAAATTAGCTACAAGACCTTTCAATCTCAATTAACTTGCTCTGACACTGGAAAGGGAGCTCCCAACTACATTTATGTCTTAAAACTTTAAAATCCAATTAAATGCTGCCTTCATATTGGCTGGGCTCTGTTCTTTTAAACAGAAATGCTGCTAACTGGCTGGGATCACAATGGTCAGGCATGGAAGAGATACTGGAATCCTTCATCTTGTAAGGGCAGGAAACAGATAGCACCACATCATTTTCATATCCATGTCCACACTAAGACTGTAGTCAGACAGGTGTAGTTTTAATGTAGGTCACTTGGTCAGATTCCCTACTTGGGTGAATCTCAACTAGTTCGTACATTTAAAAGCATATTTTTACCCTGGCACAGATGTGGCCTAAAAAAGACTTAATGGATAATGCACCAATACTGAATGAGATATTATACCTTTGCCTCTGCTAGACCAGGGTGGGCAAAGTCTGGCCTGTGGGCCGGATTAGGCCCACAATGGACTCCATTTCCCAGCAGCCCCTGCAGCAGTGGTTCCTTCTGACTGCCGCTGCCAGAGCCCTGTTGCCCAGGCACCCCCGGCCCATCTGCTCCACAGCCTTCACAAGGGCCGGGACCTGTGTGGGTAGGGTCTGTGGCTGGGAGGCTGAGATGGGCAGGCAGCCAAGGGTGAGATGGGCAGGCAGGGTCGGGGAGAGCCTGGGATCTTGAGACAGTGACAGTGTGGGGCTGGGGCCAAGCTGTGATCCACTGCCCGCATGCCTGTGCAAAGGGCACAGGTTCTGTGGACAGGAGTATGCAGGGAGCAGATCACAACTTTGCCCTGGCCCCATGCTGTCACTGCTGCAAGTTCCTGGCCCCAGTCCTGAAGCAGCTACCTGCCCAACCGCGCACCCCGTCTGTGCCACTCCCATCTAGTATTCATGGAAACCTGGGGAGTGTGGGTCTGGCCAGGCTGGGGCAGAGCCTCAATTCTGGGCCCCGCAGTCCCAGGGTCTCCACAGAGAACAGCTGGGAGCCGCAGGGGCTGCTGGGAAATGGAGTCCAGCTACCTGCACAATCTGCCATTTTGCCCGCTCCTGGTATAGATCCTGTCTTAACAGTATATAACATAATGTAACAGGTATCCAATGTACCAAGGGAGTGTTTTTATCTTCACCCTGGAAAAAGGTCACAATTGCTTACCTTTTGATTCAATTACATTGTTATCACCCACTTTCATGGCTTGTGAAACTGTAAGGCATGGTTAAAGAAACATATAATTTTTAGTGTTTTAGTGCTAGCAACACACTTCCACTCAAAATTACAAAACGGCAGCCCAAGAAGGAAAATCAAAGTATGTGCACTGGACTGATTTTCACTGCGAAAGCTGGATACAAAGTTAACAACTATTATCTTCAAGAGAGACACCCAAAAAGGCTTACAGTTTGACAATTTAAAAGTACAGGCATTCCTCAGACTTACAACGCAATTGGTTCCTGTAAATCACGTCTTAAGTCGAAACGCCGTAACTTGGAACCAACTTTCCCATAGGGACAGTGTTACAAATGGGGGATTGGTTCCTTTATGACAGTTGATACCTGCAGCCTGCAGGTGGTAAGTGGTGGAAGGAGAGGGGGAAGAGAAGGGGTGTGGGAGGGCAGATCAATGCCCCCCACAGTGAAGGAGGGACTGGGCCTGGGGCAAACACTGCCCAGACGGGGCCAGGTGAACATGGTGAGGAGGCGGGGTGGCAGCTCCCGCTGCTGCGCACTGCTCATATGGTGGTTCAACCAGCAGTTCCCGCCGCTGGTCCGGGAGGGCGTGCGGCCGGCATATGTCCTCGGACCTGTGTGGGCTGGGTTGGGCAGGGCTGGGGTTGCACCGGGCTGCAGAGGCTACAGTGAATTTTTGGGTGGTTGCAGATCCCCCCATAGCCCCCACTCTGCTGCCTGTTCCGCCCCGATCCAGGGGCGCACTACCTCCCACGCCCTCAAAGCCACGGCTCATGGAGGGGGGGCGGGCTCCTACCATTGCATGCCACCTGTCTGCAGCGGCTCCATCGCGTGCCCGTCTTGCAGAGGCTGAGTGAGCGGGGGGAGGGCGGGGGCGTGTGCCCCCAGATCAGGGTGGGGGGGATTTGCAGGCACCCAAAAATTCACTGTAGCTTCCACCCCCTGCCTGGAGCACAGCCCAGTGCAGGCCCCCACCCCGCGCAGATCCAGGGGGGGATGCCCCCACAGATCAGTGGCAGGAGCAGCGGTGGGAACTGCCAGTTGAGCCACCAAATAAGCAGCATGCAGCAGTGTGCAGCACTGGGAGCTGCTGCTGTGCCCCCCACCCGGGCAGCGCTTGCCCTAGCCCCGGTCCCAGCCCCAGTCCCTCCTTCATGACAGAGGGCATTTATCTCCCCCCGCCCCCCCTGTCCCTTCCCTTACACCACTTATCAGCTGCATGCAGTATTGGCCATCGTAAAGACAGAACCCATGTTGGAACATCGAAATGGGTGTCAATCAAAACTCAAAGTCCTAAGTCGAGGACTGCCTGTACTATAAAATGTCTTCTTTTCTTTAGTCACAACCAATCTCAAAAGATATTTTATGCTGTCAGGATCCTTAAGGGCTACAAAATCCCTAAGTCGTTTCATAAAAAAACTGAGTCTTCAAAGGACTAACTTATGTCTGGAATTGAAGCAGTGTGTCAACCTCTTTGGATTAGAAAAAGGGAACCTCTTGAATTTTCAACAAAGCAAGTGCAGCCAGTTTACAGCCAAAATTTCAACTGTTATGTTTGTTTTCCTTGCAATTCTTCCCCTGTATCAGGCTGTTGTAGAAAATACATAAGGACTGAATATAAATACCCTATTTACTTGACTGCTACACGTACCTCCCCCTCCACCCCAAATCAGGAAGCTTGTCTTAAGTAGGGAAGCTGATTTTCTTTGCTGGAATAGAAGCATAGAGGAGTAGAAACATGGCCTTATTTATTGAGACAACTAGCAAACTGGGTAGGACTGAGCAAGCTGCTGTACGCTGTTGGCTATGACTGTGGAATTTTTTTTATATTCTGCCTTCCAAAAAACAAGGCACATGCCTTATCTGAGGGAGTATGGAAAAATACAACATTCTGCACCTTTGAGCAGAAATACCAAATACATTAATTTATATGAGAGGCAGCAAGATCTAATGAATTGAGGAAGAGACAAAAAGTCCCATATTCCAATTAGAATTCTCTCATGCAGTCTTCATCTATGACCTAACTTGCTTGTGTCTCTGTTTCCTCTTCTGTAAAATTAGAATAAGATTTAGCTTTCTCAAAGACAGCTATTTAAGTTAGTATTTGTACAATGCTTTGAAAATACAGAATACGAAAGTTTGATAATACTGTTTAACAAGGATACAGCAACCAACTTCAAAAACATTATTGGTGCCAATGACCATTGGTTTTGGTTCCATTCCTTCGGTGTCTGGTGTAATATTTTCAGGAAATCTGTAGGAGCATTAAAAAAAAGTTTTCAGAATTTGACATTAAAAGAGTACTGCCTCTTTAAAAAGTGAAAAAGAGAACACCTATCCTTTGCTCAAATCTTTTAGATTTCAGATTTAAACATTAATGCTATGTGTTTACTTTTACATACTTCCAGACTGGGGCAATGAAGAGAGTAGTCAGTTTTACTTCTAATTCTCATGCAAGAGCTTAATGCAACAATGCTGAGGATACAATATTTTTGAGGAAGGAGTTACTCCAAAGAAATACAGGAAAAGTGGGAATTTGATATATCATGGATTTTTCACTAACAATCTTCAGCTGGTTACAGTCAAGGCTGAACCATCTTCTCTAGACAGAACATGAGGGAAAACAAAGCAAATGCTTCACTAATTTAAGTAAGGCTGTTTTCAAATTCCTTATAGCCTTTCTTGCTGGGTACTTCATTTTTTATCATTAAACTGCCGCTACTTACAGGGATTTTTTTTCTAGAAACAATGTTTTACAGTTACTTTTCTAATGTGGTAAGGACAGTTCTCTTCTCTTTAGACTTTTCAGACCAACTGTTCCACACATTTGAGTAGTCCTGGATTTTTTTTATACATGGCTGTGTTTGAGGAGTAGGACAAATTTAGGTGTGAAAAGGAAAGCTGTATGGTACTGAGAGAATTTAAGTCATGAATTTTATCCAGTCCCAGCCAGCCAATTGTGCAGGTTTGCAAAGCTGTGGCAGGCCTACATACTTTTTTTCTGTAAATGAATAATAATGCTCATGTAAGATGCCTGTTTGAGAGATCAAGAGAATCAAGTTCTCTTCTTAGCCCAGAACAGGTACAACACCTGGAGAGATGCATGAAGCTTCCTAAGTACTTCCCCTGTTCCAGAGGGGTACTATATACAGCTAAAAGTGGAGTTTATTCTTGTTGCCCAGACTACCAATGATTAAATTAGAAAGAGATACTCATCATTCTCTTGGAGTATATCCTGTTGTGAAGATTTCTGTGCCTTAAACAGTAGTGTAACAGGTGCTTACTAACCCATTTATGATAAGTGCTTGCTCTTCTATTAGGTTGCCTTCACCAATCACTATTGGTCCCGCTTCTGCAATGATCCGTGCTTTTGGATGAATCACTGTCCTAGGTCCTGTGGGAATACAATGAGGTACTCACCAGAGAAGAGCTCACGTGGGAAAATCATACCAAAGACAATACCTTTTCATAAGGGACCTTGTCCCAACTGCTGCTACTTTAAGGAACTGACTGTAATGATTCCAAACACCACTAGATATAGTGGTGTTTGGAATCATTATAGAGTGTCATTATAGGTGTTATAGAGCTGCTAACAGACATTCCAGCTCTATAACCACCTCTTTAACCAGATCTATATCTGGCCTTTACTTTAACCAACTTCTGTAATCTTGCGAAATAGGTGCATAGTAATTATAAAAGCAATGCTCTGCAGTCCAGGTTTGTGATACTCTGCATGCAAAACAGGCAGCCTGACATTTCACAGGGGCAGTGTTCAGGTAGCTGAGTTCTTGTTTGACAAGTACAAACATCCCATTTCCTAGGTCTTTAAAAAAAAAAAAATCTAAATTTTTTGAAAGGCAGCCTTCCCTCACATCACTGATCTATGCCTGCAAACTTAATTTCTGGTAGGGAAATATTTTTAGCGGGATTATCATAGAGAAGTAGGGCTGGATGGAACCTCCAGAAGTCATCTAGTCCAATCCCCTGCCTGAGGCAGGATCATCCGTACTGAAACCATAATCTAAACTCTACATAAAACTGCCCTCAACCTTCATGCAACACAAACCTAACACCCTAGCCTGCCACAGGTAAAGCAGGGGAACTACAGCAACCAACATCCTGCTTTTATGAAATGTCAGTATATACTCAAAGAGATCCCAGTTATAGGGCCACCCCCACTGCTACAGAGGAAGGCTAAACTCCTCACAGTCCATGTCAACCTGACTATGGGGTAAAATTCCTTCCTGATCCCAAATAGGGTAATTGGTCTGACCCTGAGCAGAGGTGCAAGGCCCCCTAGGCAGGAACCTCTGGCTTTGATCCCAGCATAAGCACTGGCACACCCCAGTCAAAGTCCCCAGCCTTGGCTGTAGCCAACATCCAGTGCCTCTGGGAAGGCTTAAAAACACCTTAACACACGTAGCAGAAAAAGGGGTGGGGGTGGAATGTGGGGATAACCAGCAAAGTCCAAAAGCATGGGAAATAACTATGGCAGAACAAAGATATGACTATACCTAAATCATTCCCGACCAGTGGCTGTCCAACCTCTTCTTGAACACCCCGTGATGGAGAGTTCACAACTTCCCTAGCCAGTCTGCTCCACTGCCTCACTGTTCTAATAGTGAAGACATTTTTCTGGATATCTAATCTAAACCTACTTTGCTGCAACTTCAAGCCCTTGCTCCACAACCTCCTTTCTGCAGCAAGAGAGAAAAGGTGCTTTCCCTGTTTTTTATGGCCATCCTTCAAGTATTTGAACACTACTATCATGTCCCCTCTTAAGTGCCTTTTCCACAAGCTGAACAGGCCTAGCTCCTTCAGCCTGTCCTCGCATGACTTGCATTCCAAGCTTCTGATCATCTATGTTGCCTGCCTTTAGATGCTAACATTTCCATGTCCTTTTAAAAATGTGGAGACCAGTACTCCAGATGTGGCCTAACCAGTGCTGAGTAGAGAGGCACTATCACCTCCCGTGTCTTGCACCTGATGCTTGTACTGATGCAGCCCAAAACCAATTGGCCTTTTGTGCAGCAGACACCCAAGTCCTTTTTCCAAGCTGCCATCTAGCCTGGTGTCCACCATTGTGTATTTGTGTTTTTGATTAGTCTTCCTGAGGTACAGCACCTTGCACTTGTCCACACTGAACTTCTGTCATGTTAGCTCTAGCTCAGCTTTGCAATCTGTCAAGATCCTTCTGAATTGTGCTCACACCTTGCAATGTGCTCACAATCCTTTCTAGTTTTGTGTTGTTTGCAATCTTACTCAAGAAAGTTTCCTATGCCAGCATCCAAATTGTTAATCAACACAGTGAATAACACTGGGCCAAGGACAGACACCTACCAGACTCCACTCAAGACCTCCTGCCATTCTGACATGGACTTGTTAATATTTACCCTTTGCTTGTGGCTATTGAGTCAGTTATCGATCCACCTTATACTAGTTTTATCTAGCCCACATTTCTCCAGTTTGTTTACACTAAATCTTATACTGCGATATGAAGAACAGCAATGTAGCTGTCATTCCTGCAGAAAGCTTTCACGTGCAGTTTTGCATACATACCAACATCAGTATAGCCATTCATGCCTGTATTGTTGTATGGGGCCACTGTTTGAAGCTTGTTTCTCTTCTTTCTAAGCAGCCCTCTGATCTAAACTTATCTGCAACTCTAATGACTTTGGTAAAGCCCTGAACTGCTCAAACAGTGAAGGCATTGTAAGGGGTTGCTCTCTGATCTCATATCTAAGGCACTAGCAAACTCTTTCCTAGTAAGCGAGAACACGTGCACTTCAGCTGGGGCCTTGGGGCGGCCGACAAGCAGTGATTTCAAGGGAGGATGTAGGGCACCAGCCTTCTCTTCTGGCGGGACGTTAATTACACAGGCCTCCCTGGTTCCAAGGAGCGGGTCGCTGGGGAAGAGGTGCTGCCAGGGCGGGTGGGCCGCACTCTTGGAACAGACGCTGCGATTCCAGGAGGCAGCGTTTGCTGCTCACCAGGGGAAAAAGAACAGGGCAGGTAGGATGCCTCCTCTTACCGATAGTTACATCTCCCCGGATCTCACTTTCCACACAGACCACGGCGCCGGGAGCGATTTTCACGCTGCGACAGAAACGTGAGGTTAAAGGTGATTAAAAGGCTGCTTTTTAAAGCCAAGGCGGAGGCCCGCGGCCAGGGGGCGGGCG